TGGAGCCAGAGCGCATCGATGTTGACCGACTTCTTCTCCCTGAACTGGAAGGCCCATTTGCCGCCGTGCTTGTTCTGCGGGTCTTCCCACTCGGGCTTGATGCCCTTCTTGAAGAGGTGGTAGTCGGACTTGAGCGCGAGGTCGGATGTGGGGGTGATGTTGTTCTGCCCAGTGTTAGTCTTGCGGGTTGCGCTTGCTCTGCAGCGCAACTTACGTAGATGCCCCAGAACTCCTCGACCGAATCAAACGAGATGACTTCCTTCAGCAGCTCGGCCCAGTTGTCGCCCTGCACCTGTTAGCATGAAACTAGCCATAGGCGAGGCGAGACATTGTCGTACCTTGCCGCTCGGGGGCTTGGTGAACCACAGCGTCCATGTGTTCATAAGCGGGTGCTTGACGTTGAAGTTCTCGGGGTCGTGGAAGACGGTGCGGATCTCGCCCTCGCCGCCGGAGTTGGTGGTGGAGGATTGTTCCTGGCCCTCGCCCGAGTTCTCAGTAGGCGAGATGGGGATCGTGTCCAGCGGCACCTGCTGGTTGGCGTGCGATGCTGATGCAACTTCGGCCATTGTGGAGGTTGTGTTTGGGGATTTTAGGGAGAGTATGTGGTAATGGGGCGGTAAAGAGGCTCCAAAAACGATGGCAGCGGGTCGTGTGGTAATTTAAGGCGATTGGTGGTGGGCGGGATGAGGTGAAGGTGGGGCTGTCGCAATCGCACCGGGCGATTATACGGGACGTGTCGCGGGCTTTTGCTGCCTGTCTTGCGGCGGGTGAGGGAAAGGTCGAGTGTGCGGTGGCTGTTTGTGGCGGGCGTGTCTGTCGGGCAGAATATGCAGTGCAGTCGCAATTCGTGTGAACCCTTTAGGCTTGCTTGGCACGGACCTCGCGCTACACTCCTGGGGCAGTTTCAAAGATGACACAGTGAAGGCATAAAGAAGCAACAGGTTGATGTCATAGCAGAACTAACTTCAGCGCATGTGAACTAGCTGACCTTTTCAGTCGTGCACATTGTACGAGAGGGAGACGAAATAAGAGTTGCCAAGAATTTCTTTTTCACTGTTCGGCTGCAAACAACAATCTGCAAGCAGAGATCTTGAGGGTTTCTAGTATCCAAAAGTGTTCGATTTTTTCATACGATGTCCACGTTACTGCTTTGAAACAAAGTTCACGATGAACTTTCTCTCAAGCAGCCTCGTCGCCGAGCAAACGCGTTTCAATATAAGCACATCTACGGCCCAACCTCAGCTATGGAAGAGCAGGGTTGGAATTTGACATCCGTGCTATGGTATTACCTTCACCGTCAGTCGAGCTCAAACATGTCGCGAAAAGTATACATTAGTAAGTTATATATGCCCAGTTTCCCTAAATGGCAATATTGGTCGCCCGTATGATACATAGAATCGTGGGAGACGCTCATAGTTCGCTCTTGTTCAGCGTCTCGTGGACTTCTGTAACCGCTTGAGGCGTCTTGTCGAGGCCCATGACTCCCATCAGCTTGCCGAACTCCATCTTGAATTGTTCGTAAGCGATATCGAAGCGAGCACCACAGAGCCAGGCGACGAAGAGCTAAAAGCTGTTAGCAAGGTCAAAGCAGCATAGTCGGGATACGTACCATGAAAAATGTGATGACCAGAACTGTACCAATGACAGCGGCGACAATGTAGACCAAGTCCCAGTTGGCCTCGGAGTCCTCCTTCCGTTTCCGCTCCGCCTCCTCGATGGTGGCAGGTGCCTTCTTGTCCACTGGTGGCTGTTGCGACGGGAATATCGACTCGATGAATTGCTCAATCTGGGATTTGTTAGTATGAGTACATTCAGCTGGACCAGTCTTGACTTGCCCTTCCGAGGGTGATGCTGATCTTGAGGAAGTTGGGGTCGTGGGGGTTGTTCTTCCTCGCAATCTTGCGAGCATATCGCCTGAAGACCTCGCAGACAAGCTGCAGATTCTGTGTCGACTCAACCATCAACTGACACGCCTCGCCCTTGGTGATCTTGACGTTCTTCTGGAAAAGAGCATAGTTCTGGAAGCAGGTCTCGAGCGTCGCGATGGCCATGGACTGTGGGATAGCGCAGAAGTTGAACACACTCTGCTCTCGGAGACCTGCCAGGTAGTACAAGCAGTCGTCTGCCCGAGTGAGTGCAGTCAGGATCATCTCTGAGCTACAGTTCAGGGCCTGCTGCTTGTTCTCGGGCTTGAAGAGATCCTCAAACTTATCCACGTGTTTCGACCAGATCTCCCTAGGCCAGAATCGTCGTCCGTCGTCCAGATCCTCCTTGATGTCACGAGTGATGTTGACCTGCTGGAGGAATTGACCCATGGACTCCATCAGTTCCGGTCTCTTGAGCAGCGCAGCGTTCGCGAGACCAGCCTCAACGAAGAGGCGCGTGCAACCCTCACCAACCAGACCTGCGACGTAATGGCAGTACAGTTCGTAGTCCTTGATGGTGTTGACGCCGGCGTTGAACTCGGCGTTGTTCGCGTAGTCTGCCATGCCGTTGCCCATTTTCTTGGTAATGTCCTTGATGATGTCCTGGTAGACGGGCTTGATCTTCTTGAACTCCTCAATCACCACGTTGAACTCAACCAGAAGCTGCCTGTCCTTCTCGTTGGGGCCGTTCTCTGTGTAGTTCCACCCATCCTTCTCCAGAATCTCGTCGAAGTTGCGGAGGATCGGCTCCTTCTTCTCCAGAGGGATTGTCATGTCATCCTCGATTGTGTCCAAACCGCGCAGGACCAGGTAGAATAGCGCGACGGGCACCAGAAGGTCGGGGTGCAGTTCGAGGATAACGGCGGCAAAACTTCGGCTTGTCTTGTTGAGGAAGTGGAAGCATCGTTTGAGGGATTCGCATTCTTTCGATTCGTCGCGCTCGTGTACTGCGTTGTGCCATACCTTCCTAGAAAGTTGTTAGTAATGCTCAGGTTTGCGCAGATCTCCGGAGGCGAGCAGAGAAGTCGCGATGCGTCGTATCTTACCATTGAATGATAGACCGTAGCTCATTGGGGTGGACGACGTAGTAGAGCATGCTCAGAGGGCTCGGCATGATGGGCGGAAGGAAAGGAGTCGTGGATTGGGGGGTAGAGGCGGATGGGTCGACACGTGTTGTGTTGTCGCAATAGGTGGACCAATTCGGCGACAGGAGAAAGAATCCAAGAAGGAGAAATTATCACACCTTTACCCGCGAGTTGAAGTGTGTTTTGGGCGCGCGATGTGTGAAGTATGGGAGCGTCTCCGCAAATTACAACAATTGGACCCTGTAGCGCACGGCCTTAGCAACCCGCTGTCTGCACCTTCCCCTCGGATCAGGGATGAGAAACACCGAAAACACCGAACGATGCATCTGGATTTCCGGCGTCGAACAGCCCTGTAGAATTGGTGAGATTGGTGGGGTCGATGATGGTATTCAGTCAACATTGCAGCTCTTTTTCCATTTTTGTTGCGCTGCACATCGAGCTGGTCTCCTTCTCTATGGCCAAGTGAACAAACATCCAGGTCGGCAGACACAATGGCTTTGTGGCAGAGGGTATTCTTGCTCAACAAACATTCTAGTCTAAACATTCTATAAGTCTACCCTGAAATATGAATCGTACAGCACCAGACGAAGATGGGCCGGTATTCTGATCAACTTTTGCCCTCATCAGTAGCTTTTCAACCTTGGATGTGGGCGAGATTCCTCTCTGTCCTCCGTGAGGTCGCTGAGCCCACATGCATCTGAATACACACACTCCTTGGAAATTGCATAACCCTGGTGATACCAAGATTCCACGCCACTCAGGTATGACGATTGACCTCGATGGCAATACTGACGCTCAAGATGAAATGTCCAGCTCGCTCTGCTCTTACCCGGCTGAATGTTTCCGCCACATCTATCATCAATGCGATGCCTCCCCAACCCACTGAATACGAATAATGCTCCAAATGCCCGCATTATATATACCGAAATTTTAGACTTTCAATACAGCATTAGCGCAACCTGTCAGTCTCCAGCCCTGTAGTCGTTCGCATGTCCGCCCTGCGATGACGCCACACCCAAATTATCGATAAGCGACACCCTTCCTTCCTTCCGCCCCAGAAACGGCAAGAGCAACCCAACCCTCATACACACTCAAAATTATTATGACATCTACACAATCCGCCCCAGTCGCTTTGCCGCGCGTCGCAATCACGTACTGCACGCAATGTCGGTGGATGTTGCGGGCTGCCTATGTATCTTCTCCCGTGATATCCGCTAGCGAAACATTCGCTAATGCGCGACCAGTTTGGGCAAGAACTTCTATCGACGTTTGGGTTGCAGATTGGTGAGATTGCACTGATACCTGCGACGGGAGGGTTGTTTACTGTTGAGTTGGTATGTTGGAACTGAGGTCTGTCGTAATGACCACTAACTTGCCAAGACATATATGCCGCCAACGGAAGAAGGTCAGAGTGTTGAAGCCAAAAAAGTGCTGCTTTGGGATAGGAAGACTGAGGGGGGATTTCCCGGTTCGTGATCTCAGCGCAAGCTTGTTAGTGATAAAGAGTGGCTGACGTGTCGCAGAAACGAAAGTATTGAAGCAGTTGGTGCGAGATCACATCGATCCATCACGAGACTTGGGACATTCCGACAAGCATGGAAAGAAGAAGGAAGACAAGGCAGAAGACACGAAGCAAGAGACAGAGGTGAAGCAAGAGCAGGGTCAAACGAGCGAGAGTGTAGAGGTCAAGAGAAATCCAGATGGGTCCATCTGTGAAGACTGTAAATGAGTTTGAGCAGGTATTCATTTGGTTTACGATAGACTGAATCCCGTAACAGCTTCCATTTCACCGCACATATTCCAGCCATATGCAGGAGTGTTCTGTAATGACAACGGATGCGAGCGCTCAGATCCACCCCTGTACCGTATTGGTGCGCATGTAAAGAAGCAAAAAGACGGTGTACCCCTGTGCACTATCTTTGGAGTCGTGGCTTACAGTAGCAACACCAGGGTCCACTACCGTGGCTCGAGCTCGCATTGCTCATGCTTACTACAGACCACGCTTGTCGACCTTGTCGAGGCGCTTCATGAGGCGAATGTCCATACGGTGCATGTTCTTGCGCATGTGCTCCAGCTCGCTACGCAGTTTCTCGGTCTGGCGGTTAGCGTCCGCCATGATCTCTGGAACGCAGGAATGATCGTTCCTTGTTGTACAACCCATTCCTGGCTTCGGCATTGACGAAAAGTAGGTACCCTCCTCGTTGGGGACGCCCAGTGCTTCAACCAGATTATCGATTCGGAGACCGTGAGACTCAGAGGCGAGTTCGAGCTCCTTGTGGTGCTGAGCTAGATCGTCAATTTTGATGGAGTAGAGCTCGCCGGTGAGGTTGGTCAAAGCTTGAGCACGTTGAACGAGTGAAAGGACCTGATAGTGCGTGCCGTTGAAGTCGGCCGGGAGTGCGAGACTAAAGCCATTGGTGCCGTACATGCGCGCTGCTGCGAGAGCAATGACAGCGCTCGTCGCTGCTCCGAGCACTACTTTGGCAATAGTCCACCAGGAGCTCTCGCGTGAGGCGCTCAAGCGGGCCTCGCTCTCTGCAATCAGCTTTTCGATGATGGGAATATCGCGGCTATGACTGGACTCGTCGATGTGCAGCTTGTTGCGGAGCAAATCGAGAGCCGCATACACGCTATATGTTGCCTTGGATCCATGCTTGAGAAGCTTCCTGAGCTCTTCCGTAATCTTAGCCTCTGCGTCAATTGATACGTTGGTCTCCTCGATGTAGTGGGTGAATTGTTCGTTCATCGCACCCATGCAGAATACAGCGGCCTTGCTGACAGTAAGTGACATCTCGGTAGCCCTGCTCAGATATGTCTTGACGAAGCTAGCAGGAAGATGAACATCCTGGAACTTGGCGCCTGCTTTGTCAAGATTGGCAACCGCACGATCGATGCCGCGGTAGCCTTCGAATCTGGCCCACTGGTAGATCGGCTTGCGGTCTTGGTTCTCGGTCTTGACGTATTCATGAAGCTGGAGCATGGCCGTTTCCACTCCACTCATAGAGCCGAGGATGCTGTCCGCAACCAGACAGAGTTGCTGAGGCTAATACAGGGTTAGTCAGATACCACGCATGCAGAACAATGGATAGTTACTGTAACTGACGAAGCAGAACCCTCCAGGCTCACCTCATCCAGGCCGATCCTCTCGTTGTGGGATGCGATCGCATCATGGATCGTAGCGCTTGTTTCTTGCTCCTTGTCAGATGCATCCTCCTTGCGACCAGCCCCGTCGACTATGGATTCATCGCCTTCCACTTGCTCCTTGTCATCTGTCGGTTCTGTGTCGGGAAGGTGCAACGAGCTGTCGCTTGTGTCGTCCTTGTCGGCACTCCGCGCTATGCTCGCCTCGCTGCTAATGCTGCCGGTGCTACTCATGTTGGTGATAGTTCGAACGACTGGGAGAGAATCGCGAGAGTAGTCGAGCTGAGGCTGATGTGAAATAGTGATTATCAAAGTCTGATTTATTGATACAGGTGATGTGTCGACTGCTTGGGGAGATTAGAGTCGTGGTGAGCGTGATTTGCGCTCTGCGATGATTGGACAAGCACGCTCACTTTACTAGCGTGGTTTCCTGTTTGAGTTGTATGGAGGAAAGCGCAAGGCAACCGCCCTGGAAAGGACGAGTGAGGGTGAAACCATTGTAAAGAGCAAACAAAATGTTGAAATGGAAATATTAAGAAAGACGTTACACTTAAACGAAGTGATCGAAGAAAATTCAGAGAGGGGGCTGTCGAGATGGTAGCTGGCAGTGAGAAGTGCGAGCCCGCAGCTCCGAGTTTGACGCCTGACACAGCAACTGGGCAAGATGTTGAGGATAACAAGCTTTACTGACTCAGAGCAGCCTACTCGTTGCAAAGTGAGGCACCACAGATACCTCCATGGTGCTGCGAAAGTCGAAGAAGCTGCTTGTTACCACAACATCCAGGCCTAGAGATGAGTGAGACAGTCTAACGAAGCAAACGACCAAATACTGTTCACATTAAGATGATAGCTCCGGATTCCTCTCAACAAAGCGTTCAAAGATATGATGCGCTCCATCTGCAGCAGTAATGCATAATGCGGTGTGCTTCATGAAGATTGCATCGTGTCCGCAGAAGCGGGATGCTCACTGATGGGGGAAAAGGACGCGCGGTTGCGATTGTACATATGCAGTCAAGGGTCACCTGCATACTCCATCTGGTCGCATGGTCATCGATCGTCTGATCGTACACCCATAACTTAGAGCCGGGGAATAAGCTGGTGGCCGCGGTAGCATATGCAATGCAAAGTGCTTATTTGTAATGCATGAGTCCTGCGTATCAAAGCAAACATATTCCCTAGCTACAGCAATGCTGCACAATGTAATATGCTGGCCCAAGACTTGTGGACCTCGAGATAATGTCCGAGCAGATTCGTGTGGTAGTATGCCCTGGACGAGACTGTATGGCGGGAAGACTGTCTCGGGTGGCCTGGGTGTTGTTGCCGCATGCCGTGCGTTCGGGACGTTTTGAAGGCGTCAGGCAATGCGTACTTGCAGTGGTCAGAGCCTTAGGACTAAATTCTCATACATGGCGGTGGCACGACCGTCGGCGTGATAGGTCAAGATGAGCAAGCCTCCAGCGCAGACGCTGATGCCGTGCTCAAGATCCTATGTTTCATGGTCAGCAGCGTACGAGCTATGATTACAAAACCTGCGGTGTGAATTGTGCATGTGTTTGCTGTACTTGATAGAGTTTCCGTGACCAAAAAAGAAATGTGGTTAAGCGGGGACAGGCCAGCGGCCATCGTCATCGAGCTACTCGAGCATCTTCAAGACGATGTCAATAGAGATAACGCGGGACGTCGATAGCCAAGCGGCTGGTGCGATCGGAGGGCTATGGCAGCGGATTGAGTTGTGATGCGTGGACGAAGGATGCCAGCTGCAAGCGCAGTGAGGAGAGCCGAGCACCCTTGGGCGACGATCATGGCGTACGCCACGACTTCCCCACCCAACCTCTCGACGCGACGTGTCATTCGTCGCGCTTCGCATGATAGCATGAACGACTCTGCTGTACGTGTCGAACGCGATATCTGATCCCCGCGAAGTCCGACATTACGCATCCATGTTGACCGATCGCTCCGACGATGGAGTCGGCGATAGGTGAGATTTCCTTGCGATGCCACAGGAACGCCACCCCTCAGTTGGCGAGATCGTCAAATTGCCCAGTACCGCCCGGCACCGTGCCATCCGAGGACTCTTGTCAGATCCCCAGAAACGTCTAATTCCCCGCATATGCTCTACTGTACTGAGGCTTGTAAGATCTGGACTGAACACGTCTCAGCTTTGTGCATTGGCATCCTGAGGCTGAGCGCGCTGAATGCAAATGCGTCGGTCTCGAACACAACTGATCACGACGACTGCAGTGACTACATGATCTGGATCGAAAGACAAATGCTTGACAGCTAGATATCTGACGCTAGGAAAGCAGCCCGCGCAAGCCACGAGCGGTCGATCCCCCATTTGGGCAAGATCGCCCCATCAAGACGCTCAATCGGGCTCGCAAGACGCAGCCTCGCCAACCAAAAGACGCCATCATGAGCCGGACGGCGACGCGTCCCAGCCGTCACGATAGCTGAGGGCGCGACAAGGGTTTGTCGACATACAATAGTTGCTTTGTCCCACGCCCGGCTGTGACAGACTTCTGCTTAGTTTCGACTCCATCACGGCAGACTAGGCATCCCTGCCGCCGCTCGTTGAGCAACTCAATCTGTGGTACTACACATGCACACTCCTATTTAGATCAACATGGCTTCGGAAGCGATCCCGTCTTGTCAGGCTAGCATTGGGGAAGAGCCTCATGGATATCTAATCCCCGCCCGCACATCGTCGCTTTCTCGTACCCTTTGTTTCGATGACCCTAGGACCTTGAATCAGGTAGTCTCCGCGGCATCGACAAGTGGATCTACACTACCTCACCATACCAGCCCACCTACAGCCGCACGTCATAGCTTCGCGGTTGGCGATCGCGTTGCCTCTACATTAGTAGAAGATAGCACCGGCAAGAGACCTCTTAGGGCTACCGAAACGCGACCAAGGTCTGCCAGCTGCCTTGTTACACCTTCAAAGCCGATGCATCCAACCAAAGTACAACGCTGGTCAGGCTTGACCCGTACTGTGAGCGATTGGGATCATGGACTACGCAGGGTATGTACGAAGCTTTCATGTGGAAGCTAAGCTAATAAACCGGAAGGATCCAGAGTTGTGGTATGAGGAAGGAGACTGCCTCGTACATCTACACGCGAAAGGGGTTTCGCGTCGTGGCCCGTCCTTCTGCATTCCGTTCAGACTTCTGCGACAGAAGAAGTGCGAGGCGATGCTCCAGCTATGTGATGCGCAGATCGCGTCTGCCCCGGGATCCGCTTTCCAGCACCTGAGGCGAATGCCCAGCTCCCTTACCAATGCCAATGGGGAACATAGTATCGTCGAGCTCTTCATCCCGGTTCCAGAGGAATTATCACGAGAGAATTCATTCAGACGGCACATTGCGACTCGCAACTTCTTCGCCTTCCTTCTGGGTAAACCACTCGTAGGCGATCATATGGGCCAGGCATTCGTAGACGTCCAGGAACGTTTACACCACTTCCGTCCAAGTCATCCAAATAACCACCAAGACTTCCTGGACTACGCTGAGAACCAAGGGTACCGGGATCTGGTGGAGTGCACGGACTATGCTCTTGCAAGCCTCTACTACGCAGAGCATTTCAAACTTAGAGACATCTGGGTCGATGCATTTGCTCATTGCGTCGGTATGAGCGACAGCTTAGTTCTCAGTCCGGAATACGTTGTATGAAACTCGTCAACTGCTTCAGGCCGCTGTACTAACATGTTGTAGCTGACTTCGAAGCTCACCAAAGCATTGATCACCCGCGCACATCTCGAAGTCGACGGCCACCTCGGGCGCGTATCGATCGCACTGAGCAGGTTTCTACAGGAAGACCTCTCGCCGACTCACCTCGGATTGACGGACGGTGCCAGGAGCCATCTCGATCGGTTCCGCCGCTTCTTGCACACCTTCCACGTGGACAAATTTGGCTATTGGCCACCACCACGGGGTGCCGCTTTTCCGAAAGCTCTGTACAAGTCTATGTACTATGACTTCCAGAACCTGTACGACTACCTCGTAGACACCGACTCGACTGCCGATATCTCCTCCCAGAGACCAGCTAGCGGTGGCATCTGTGTCTTGCAGAACATTGCAACGTTCGATCAACGACATGGCTTCAAGTCTCAGCCGCACCCGTTACCTCTCCTACCAACATACACTTCGCCACTGAAGAGAACAAATTCCCAGAAAACGAACTCTCAAAAGGCTTTGAGACAGCTGGTTCTGGCCTCGCAGTATAACAAGACGCATGTACAGGATACCATGCATGGTGCTCTAGCAGCGGCAACGAACGTTTTAGAGCCCAGTGCGATGGAGTCCAACATCGTGCAGGCATATATCCACTTTGAGAAGGCGCATGCTACCAGCCCTAGTCAACGTCAGGGCAAGGTATCAGCAACAGATGCGCGTAAAGTCAGGTGGCTCTTGATCTATGGCACTCTCCAGTATCTTGTATCCGCTCTGAGGGCGCCGAAAGAAGTTCGCGATACTGAAAGCCCGGAGTACGCTTTGTGCTACGTTGCGGAGCCCGCCTCGACTACCAATAGCGTTGCTACGACTCCTTTGGCGTCACCTCCAGCTAAGACGCCAGTGGCCCTCGACGAAGGTCCTGATGACTCTCAAAGCAGTCTATATTCGATAGAGCCAGACTGCCAAAGGGAAGATTACTTTACGCCGCAAAACATGAGTCGACGTGGATCCATGGAGGTTGCGCCCCTTAGGATATCCCAACTACCTCGTTCGTCCTCTGTGCGTTCTCTAGCGCGACGGTCACTTTCTACTCGAGGCTCGCGGAGCAATAGTCTCACAATGAAAACTACACAGAAGCCTGCTGGTGTTGTTCAGGAATCTAGCGACAGGTCGAAAGACTCTGTCCCATCCTCGCAGGATCACGCTCGCCAAACCTCTTCTGTTTATTCCGAGCTTTCCACGGCAATCACTGCAGAGAGCGGGGCTGAACTGGATACCTCCTGGCTCCGATCACGAACACCCTCAGTCACTCGTAGCAGGCAGGGTTCTACGGCAAGCACGGCCGCACGTCCCCGAACACCCCTACTCGATTCTGTTCAGCTCGAGCGTGCCACATATCCACTCTACCTGGCGCGCACTGGCGAGCCTCCTAGCCGTTCAGACAGTACTAGCTCTACAGCAAGCTCACTATGGAGCGAAGGCGCGAGTGTGGTCTCATCTAAGTCCAGCGCATCTGCGGATAGCCCTACTCGTAAGGTCAGCGCCGCAGAAGAGAGTGGGCTTCTGGGTGGACTTGTCTCTTTTGAGTCACCTGGCACTATGTCACTCACAGCACAAAGCCATATACATCCTCTCCTACGACAACAGTCCCCTAAAGCCGAGTTTGAGTTTGGTTTCGAGAAGGTCAAGTCAGAAGTAACTCTTGATGTCCATGAGCTCTCCCAAGTCGACTCGACCATTGGCATGGCTGTCTCCACCCCGCCGTCGCCCACCCGACCCCGTATGAACCTGTTTCCCGACACACGACCCACTTTCACTGCCGAAGAGGCACGCGCTCTCATTGCCGACAAGAGGCCCAATCTTCCGTATCGAAACAGATCCAAATCTACCTCCTCTGTCTTGGATAATGCCACATCGCCGGCGAAAGATTCAAGGTTCTCCACGCCTGTGAGCACGACACCCACCGGCTACTGGGAGCAATACAAAGCGACTCTCACACAACAAAAAGCACGAACCAATCCTGGATCACCGACAGGTCCTACTTCGCCATCCATGGCCAAGATTCCGACCGCCTTCAAAGCGCCCTTCTCGCGACTCAGACCCCGCAACGAGGAAGACCGCGGCGTCAAGACAGAGCGCCGATTGTCAACTCTTTGGCGACACTAAGTGCAGCACATATTTCACGCTCTTCTCATCTTCTTTGCTTTACTTCCTTTGCTGTTAGCGAGCTTCATGCATGGTGTTCCGGCGTTCAAAAAGGTCGCAACAAGCATGTTATATACCCTCTCATTTGTTTGGTGTGCTTCTCTCATTCTAGCAAAACAGTAGTCATACCATAACCAAACGATGCAACGATCTTCTACATATACGCCTCTTCGCTCTTGCCACTTCCACATAGCGTCTTTGTCTCCATTCTCTGAACACGCAATCATCGTTATGAGACGGACCGCGCTTGCGCAATAGCAGAGTCGACCTAACCATCCTCCTTCATCCTGTTCTACAACATCGCTTATGCCTGCAATCAACACGGAATTTCCCTGAATGATATGCGACTGGACACGACTTGTGCGGAGAAGTGTACCGCCTTCTGAGAGCAAGTATCCCGTACAACTGTCGAGGAAGGTCGCTAATACTTGCGAGGTTGGGATGGTTATCGTACACGAGATTGCGATCATCAGTCGTTGATTCGGTGCGACTTCTCGAAGCCTGCTCCCCACAGCACTGTCAGGTGATACACCAGTGTTCGCGTTGGTAACCCCGATGAGCGTCCTTCCGACTGCGCAGTAGCTGTGCAAGTTGTTTGGTAGCGATAACAACCTACAGCGCTAGGTCGCGTCTCAGCAAAACGCGGTTTCTTACTGCCGAGACGCTTGTTCTGGCGTGTTCAGAGCGACTACGAACTGTCCATCGTTACCTTGACGGATGTGCTGTGGAGCTGCCAGCACGAGAAGAAGAAAAAAAGCATTCCACGCGTATGTTTCCACAGCCGGTGTGTTGTCCATGGACATTGACATCGAACTTTCGAGTCTTGCACAGCGTGCCCAATGACATCATGCCATATTTAGATTAGGGGCCCGCAAACTTGTCGCACTATCGAAAGCCTCAACAAACATGCGCTCCACAAACGCCTCCTAACACGAAACACACCACACGAGGTTGAGGTGTTTTTCCTATCATGCATACCGTCGCTAGGTGCAACGCAGGTGCCACTATTTTTGGAACTGGGCTTGCGCACTCACCACGACGGTCATGCCGACCGGATTCGCATTTGCGAACGGAACCTGATGTAATGTGGCGCTCGATTAAACAGCGAAGCCCACGTTACGTCAACTGCCAGCCTCGTAGGCCACGCTGCTTGTGGCGTCAGCGGGTGTGGCGTGCGGCTCCGGCACCCTGCATACCAAAGTTGAGGCTCAGCTTCGCGGACCCAAAAATGTCACCGCTCGCAGGTGGTTCCTGCATCACTAATGCCAAGGTGAGTACCACGTCAATGTGCTGGCTCTTTACAGGAGTAGTTGCGGTGAACGAATTCACGATCACAGACGTCTCAGTCAACGCAGAGCTCACCTGGGCAACGTGCCGACATGCGAAAACGAGAACAATGCATCAAGCCGCAATATCCATCACAGCATGCGCAACTGCAGTATACGAGGTACCTGCCTTGTTGTTCGATGATCAATGCCACTTACATCACAGAAGCTGTTAGCGGTCAAGGGGTCCACACGTTAGGCTCGGAGATTTGTGCCTACGCCGGTGCACGCCCGTCCGGGGGGCAACATCATTGCCCGAATGCAACCCACCACGGTGAGAAATACGAGGAGGTATGACCGAATCCATGAGCATTGTTGGTTGTTGCTCGAGCGCTCGACTAGGTGACGTTGAGATGGTAATGAAGATCTTCGCAGAGATATAAGTACGGCTCCAGCCACCACATCTTGTATCCATCATCCAAGCAGTCAAGTTTCAAACACCTCACCTATCAACACCACCAAACCTCTCAAATCAGTCAAAATGCAGTTCTTCACCCTCGCCGCTCTCTTCGGTGCCGCCGCCATGGCCGCACCCGCTGCCCAGACTCCCGACTGCCCTAACCCGGCTCACTGCCAGGGCCCACCAGACGTCAACAGCTACGAGAACGTCAACTTCAAGGACTACACCATCCGCAAGAACAACGGTACCCTCCAGTCCGTCTCATTCAAGATTGACGGCCGCAACGCCACCGACCTTTCCTGCGTCGGCGGACCATACCCTACTCTCCCCGCTCCTATCGTCAACTGCGGCGACAGCAAGTACCGTTTCGCCATGACCAAGGACATCAACGGCGACTACCCCATCACTCTCTACCACGAGCTTGGCACTGCGTACGTACATCAAGTGACACAGACTTTGGACGATAGACTAACATATGCAAACAGTGTCGGCTTCTGGGGTCAGGGCGTTGTTCCCACCTACTGCCACGCCGGTGGCAACGGTCCTAACGACTTCGTCTGCTCGCAGGTTGCCCAGTACACCTTGGTCATTGCTGCCTCTGGTTAAACATCGAATGAAACGATGACCGGGGTTTCTTTGTACATACATACACTTCACAAGTAATATAATACCAATCTGTACATTCATCAAACATTACGGGTTTAGTTGTGCAAAGCCGAACTTGCATTGGTGTGTGTGATGTCGTGGTTGTCGACAAGGCGAATAGCCACGGCATACAGAAGACTTGATCATGGGGACATTTTTGCGATGTCTTGTGAAGGAGAGATAGCTTGTATCCATCATTGTGTGAGTCTCACCGCCATCACGAGTGCGGGTGACAGATACTGTAACCGTTACAAGCTGCATTCATTGATTGACTCCTTCACAGGCCCATCAGGTTGAAGATGCCTTGTGACCAGCGCGCAAAACGACATAACCACAGTGACCGACTGGCTGACGGGTCCACGACTTCAAGCGTCCAGCATGTCAAACATGTATAGCAACTCGACACTTCATCAGAGGCTTCCCTCCTCAAAAGCCATCTCTGACGCTCCTACTATCCACATATTACTTCTCTACAAACGAGAAACAATAATTGTACGAACACGAAATGAACAGTAGCAATTTCATCATCCTCCTAACGGCCACCTTTCCCGCCCTCGCCATATCTTCCTTCCTCTTCTCTTTAGCGACGTACTTCCGGGCCCCCGAAGCACACCCGGAGACTCAAGATCGAGTGGATAACCTCGAAAATCTTGAGGACACCATGCCAGCACTCATTGAAGAAGTCAGGGCTTTGAGAAGAATGGTTGATCGAGAAAGGCAGAGAACGAGAAGGCTGGAGAACGAAGTAAGAGATATGGGAAGGCGGCAACGGAGAGGCGAAGAGACAGCAGATGAGGCTGGCGATGAAGCAGAAATGGAAGATGATGGAGACGGAGAGATACAAAAGCACCATGAGGGAGAGATACCTGTACGAAAGCCTTTCGATGTCGACGAATTTCTGGAAGAGCAGCGGGCCAGAGAGCTGGCTTGCCGTATGATACAGAGGTCAATGATAAACAGGACTCGTTGCTCCGGTGGATATCCCACCGACGGCATTCTCGATGAGCCACTCCATGTTTCAACGGTGTATGGCATACGGGGCGGAGAAGTCACTATAACGGACGATGAGGAAGCACTGGCCGCAGCTGCTTCCAGTGCTTTACCACCCAGCTCTGAAGAAGGTTCAACATCATCGACAGATGAACCGCGCACACTTACACAAGCCGTACGCGCCGGTGGAAACGTAGAGACTCGCGCTAGGATGCTTGTCGAAGAAGACATGCCCACGCTCCCGACGAATGGCGACAGCCCTACTCCCACAACGAATGGACATCCTCAAATACCTCGTCTTGATACCACCAACTACGACATCTTTACCATCACATCCTCCCCCATACGTCATAGATTGAATAACCTCTACCCCTCCCCACACGGCCCCCGTCCCACAAGGATAGTCATTCGAAACGATCCTGGAGGCTTGTGGCGCCGGACTACCTTAACGGATGTCCTGACTGGTATAACGCCACAACTAGGACTGAGAACCATGCGCACTATCATCGAGGAATATGAAAGATCGTTCTTGCATAATGCTTCGAGGCGGGACGCAATGACGAATGGACATGTTCGGCATACCGCACCCACTGACGGTTGGTATGAAACTGAGCGGACTCGTTTAACGACCAACATGCCCAGTGGAGGAAGACATTCTCATCAGCCCAACGGCTACACTAACGGCTATACTCGTACTCCCTCGACCAATGGCAACATCCAGTACCCTTCCTTCCCAAACGGTCATGTAAACAACCACCTTCCCTCCAATGACAATCGTTTCTATGGCTACATCTACGAATCTACAAATGACGGCTCTCACGAAGAGGACTACGCCGACGCACGAGAAATTGTTCGGCCACTCCTCGTTGTACTGTACGGCTTGAGACCTTCCATCGGCTCTAGGGTCATCAGGGATATCATCGTTAGATACACCATAGCGATGGGTTTGGGTTACACTGACCCGAACAATCACCGTCGTACGTTGTTGACTACGGCGGCTGTTCACCTTGAGGGTGTAAACGGGTTTGTCGATCACGAAGGCGTTGAAGATCTGAGTGAAGATGTGTGGATTCGTGAGCCTAATAGCGAGTATCGAACTGGTGATAGTCGCGGAAACGGAAGAAGCACCAACGACAACAGAAACGGGATCACAAACACCTTCCACATCAACGCCGGCATCGTAACGCCAAACAACACCAGTGCCAATGGCGTTCCCTTGACAAATGGTCGAACCCACACCTCCAACACCTACACTCAAACCTCATCCCCAGAGCGGCTTACTGCAGACCCAAATGACATCCGACCGCGTCCCCGCCTCTCCACCCCCGAACTCAACGAAGCGATTGGAGACTGGGGCTCCGTATCATACACTCTCGACGGCCCTATTCTACGCCTTCGCGCGATCCGCGCCGAAGGTGGAATAGATCAGGAAATCCCTCTCCGTCCGCATCCAGATGCGAACGATGGTAGACATGTTGCGACAGGTGCTAGGACGAATAGGTACGCGACGGCGATACAGATTATTCCCCCAAGTGTTTATGTTGGGGATGGTACGAGAAGCTCATCAGAGTCTTCAACGCGCTCTTCTCGGAGCGCATCCTTAAGCGGAACCACACTCGTCAACTCCGCCGTTGGAAGTACAAACGGCGACACTGTTCCCACTTCCAACCCGCCTACAAACGGTGAGCTATCAGAGAGCGTGGAGCTCCACCGTAACGGCGCTTACGAAACCCCTACTGCAACGCTTAGGCGGCGTCGCGATGCGAGGGATATGAGGAGAGCCGCTAGGGAGAATTTACTAGTGGAGAGGGGAAGTGTGGAAGAGGAAAGCACGGGAAATAGTGAAGAGAGTAGTGAAGATAGTATGGATGCGGAGATCGCGGAAGTGGAGGAGATGTGGGCGGAGATTCGTAGACAGAGGGGGACTATGGAGGAGGAGATGATGCGACATGTGGCGGCGAGGGATCGTGCGGCGCAGGCTCAGCAGACAAACGGTGTGGGGACGAATGGGGTTGGGAGTGAAGGGGGTGATGAGGCTTCTGAGGCTTCTGGGTCTGAGACGAGGGAAAGGAGGCTTGATAGCGAGTAAGTGCGCGAGAAAGATATTGTCACAGGCAGGGGATGGCACTAAGTAACCTATGCTCGTCGCGTTGGCAGAATAAAAAGGACATTTGAATATGCGGTCCTCGTCTGTACCCATCAGCCACCCAGCACTCACTGCTCACATGTAAAGATGCCCAGGACAATTCGACTAACTGTATCATTTCCACTACATCAACTCGACTGATGCGGTCTTCGCGCTATGCTGATGGACATCTATTATGTCAATCATATCTACGTCTTCCGCACACTCATGAACTTCTAATATTCCAACGAATCCACATACAAATCATAACATCTTCAAAAAAGCTCAGATAACACGTCGCCATACCGCTTCGTCAGAGCTGTCCAATGACTTATATCTTGCAGTACCCCTCCTATCCCCCCACTCGGAACAGTCGGAAACAATACAGTATATCCATGAAACGCTATCTAGTGGTTCTGTTGATGGCGCATAAAAGCCGTTGAGTGTCTCAGCTTGTCTTTCTTCGACGACCTGCTGGTCGACTACGAGGAGGGTAGAACCTAAAGACGGGTGTACAAAATTAGTATTGGTCTCACATACAGTTCCCATAGGGGCAATACTAACGCGATGGTGGCGGTTCCTTGCTTGACGCCATCCGCAAAAGCGATCTCAACGTCCTGGGAATGATGCACTCGTGATCGGAGGGAAACAGCGAACGCTTTGGCAATTGACATGGACGTGTAGGGGGTGTTGCTTGCGTCCTGCTTCAACTGAAACGAGTCGATTAGGGAAGATACGAGTCCTTGGATGTGCGAGAGGCTCACGCCGCTGCGATGCATCTTGAATGTCCGGCAGACCAGACCCATAGCTCGTGCTATGCGAATGTTGATGACAGTGTTTTTCTTGCGTAACAGCGAAGAGACGGATGGGGTTGAGCGACCTGATCGTATATCGTCGAGATTGAGCATATCGTCACATGCTTTCTCGTAGTCTGAAAGAACACGAAGATCGGAGATTGGGAAGTGGGAAAGAATAGCTGCGTTCGGTAGCCAGGCATAAACCATACGTTCTAACTAGGTTATTATAAACGCAGCATATTAACACACTGGCAACTTACCTGCAAGCGCTTTGTATCTTGCCCATGAAGCAAGACGCATCGATTTTAACAATCGCAAGGGATCGGCTGCAACTAGGGTCTTATTGGGTGCCAAGAGCATCGGGTGGTCGAGCGCGACTATACGGGACAAGAAAGGTCAGTTAATTTCACCAGAAAGCTGACCATGAAACAGAGGATGCAACATACCAACAGCAATCCTGGGGTCTTGCATGTTTGCGGCCTTGACAAGTGCCTGCAGGAGACTTGTAGATACCGAGACGTATGAGGATGCACCACCACGCATCGATAGATGCGAATGAGCCAGACGCAAGGTGATGCGTAAACCTTGTTCTTCGTCAGGTGAAAAAGGCGCCAGAAGTTCTTCTGGCCATAATGAAAAGGCCTCAGACGCGAACGTTTCACTCACAAAGCCATTCTCCACGTCGAATTTGGTCCGGCTGTTGGCATCCCACACGCGGAAGCCGATATGTTGTGTGCCAGGAGCCCGTGGGCTCCGAGGGGTAGGCGTTATGGGGGTTGCATGGCCGTCATCATCGATGTCTGACCAGCTTTCTTCAACATCTTGCTCTACCATTGGCGTTCCCCCGAGCTGCAGACCCCACAGTGGCAGATCTTCAACCGGTGGCGTATTGGCGGCCCGAGACCTCTCTTCTTTGCTTCTTCTTGCGCTTCTCACCAGGTGCTTGTAGTACCTCCTGATCTTTGGAGATTTTGCAAATCGGGCTCTGCCAAGCTCGTGTTCCTCCTCACATTCGCGCCATATCATCTCAACGCCGATCTCTGCAGCTCTTACTCTGATGATCTTGTGAATTTCGTCAAACCAGTTTTCGGGGTCGGAGAAAGGCACATTCAAGACTTCATCAAACTCCGGCAACGCCTCACGGCCAAAGAGAATGATATAGGTGTAATATCGGTTACGCAATTTGTTGTTATCAAGATCCTGGCCGGTGATGGCGTTGAAGACTCGTGGGATGATAGATCTGTCTGTATCATCATACCACCGATACAGGATAGCCAATAGTTTGTGTTCGCCCTCGTCCCATGAGTGATTGGGTCTTCGTTCGCATTGGCGAAGCTCTTCATTGGTGAATTCAATAAGCCCCGATGAGCTGGGAAGCCTGCTCCGTTGAGTGACCATGCCGAAGTCCAGCGTGCGTCGTACTGATGGCGTCGGTGCAGTATCAACGGCGTCGAATTGATAGCTCGCCCTAGCAGGACTGCGAAGTACAACAGGCAAATCTCTTTCTTCGTCCGACGGGCAGGGCGTTGATACTGGAAGTGTAGCCTGAGAATCGTACGAAGAACAACGCTGCTTGGATATGTCCGAAGCGGAGGTACCGACCGTTGACGACACAACTGCGCTGATGTCTTCGCCAGGCTCGCTCTTGATATATCCAGGTGGCTCGAAAACACCCTCGATCGAAGGAAGCACCGAGTCTTGTTCGCTGTCATCGTAGTTGCTTGTTAGGGACACTGTGAAGTTGTCAGTGCCTGCTTCACGACTGTGAAATGGAAAGATGCCCGGTAACCACTTACCTTGGATGTCAGCTTCGGTTACAGACTGCAACTGCTTCGGGTCATGCGGCTCTTGCGGTGCTAGAGGTGTCGTGGCTGCGACTTCCGGCTCCCACAGCTCTACACCGGCATCTGCTTCTCTCCAGATATGCCTTGTCATTGCGATGAAGTGTGTATCTGCTGCTTCAGATGCAACGAATGATTGATTGATCAGCAAGCTGGCGTTCCATGCGATGTGCGAGGGTCGTGTCCGGGTGAGGTTAAAAGAGAGAAGATGTCATGCAGTTTGAAGAGTTTTCAACCCAGCAGGCATCCAGCCCGAGGCGCGTCGGACTCAAGTCGCGTCTACGCGCCATAGAAAGCTTGTCGCTGCGCGTCCGACGTGTAATGAGCGCGGTTTCGCGTGGTGAGGTGAAAGAGGCGGCTCCGAGCCGCACTCTCCAGGACAGTGAGCCAGGGCGCCTACATGTGTCAAGCGAAAAGCCAGACAGACGAAAGAAATTATTCCTGAGTTGTCGATAGAGCCGACCCAGTATCATGGAGTAGGTGGGTAGAGTTCAGGTCGATGGAATAGCTGAGTGGAATTTGCTTGTTCTGCCACGGCATTAGCAGTGAGGCTTGCCGGTACGTCCTTCACCATATCTTGACTTGTCAGTGCAGCGTTAGAGATTATATGCGAGAATCAAACCTCTGTGAGTGGGCTCTGTTGAAGAATGTAGAAGAGAAAGACGGGTTAAGATCAACGCATGCCGTGTAGTGGGATGACATCATCGAGAGCTGAATCTCACCGCTCGCTTCGCCGTGTCGTGACCTGACGAGCACGTTTGGAGGACCGGTATAGGTGAGAACGAATAGAACAACGGGCCATCGCTTTGCAGCAAAGATCCGCAAGTGGGAGCTGGACCCGTGAGCGTATGTATCTTCTGACTGTGCCCCACTTTTGCTATTCGATGGCATCGCCGCGACAGCAGGTGATAGACAAGAAGCAGAAAGTGAAGATACCTATAATGATTCAATCAATTGAAAAGCAGATTCCTTCCCACGCTACGTTACATACATTACTGGCGTCGAAGAGCTGATAAAAAAACGATAGAAAAACAGAATGCAAAGCGCACAACTTTTGGTGCAACAGAAGACTTTGGACGTAAACCATCCCTCTCGAACAAGTGGTATGCGAAAGTGTCGTTCGCTGCGCCGGCGCTATGCTTTGACGGTCAAAGTACGGATTCGATACAGATAACCGAAAAGATTGGAGTTCCTGGTCCTGTTGCCACATGATTCGTCCGACCATTCCAAAGAAGCGAATGCGTGAAATGCGCCTAGTCGGGTCCAGAAAAACACCTGCAACGATACGGCGCAGTCTGCGTTCGCACGACTGACGAAGATGGGGTGGAAGTGACCAGGTGACGGGTTGTTGGGTTGTCGCATAAGCGCCCGTCAATGGTGCTGTGGCTGCTGCTCCACATGCATATGCGGTCCGTAGACCGCATACGGGATCCAAAACGTGATCGCGCCTGCATATAATGATTCCAGGGCTGCAACACGGTTCGATGGATAATTGCTTTTCTTCTTACGCCCGCCTCACGCAACGCAACCCAACAGATGTTGTTGCGGCTTCATTACGCATAGCTTCGTTTCCTTTTCTGGTGGTTTCTTCGGCCGCTCATTTGTGGCCATGCTGCTCGGTGCAGATCTTCCTTACGACCCACTTTTCCCAGAACTTGCGCTGCTGATTGGTGACCATGATTCCGTCGTCGTCTCCTAAGACGTCGACGCCATCCATGTGTCCGTTGCAGTTGCACCATGTAATCGAGGCTGGGGTATCGGGCATAGGCGGGAAGGAAAGGGTGCCTAGAGAGGTCAGTATATGTCCCACATGCACTTCGTACAGCCAGAACTTACCACCCTGTTCAGGCTCGTCGGTCTCTGCATCAGACTCTGTGTCAGCTATAGAACTGCCATCAGCGTCGTTCCCGCTAGATGGATCCTCGTGTTCGTGTTCGTAATCGTAATCGCTTTCGTCGCTACTGTCGCTTCCAAGAGGGTCGTCTTCTGGTACTTCGGCTCCCATAACGAACTGCTCGTCGAAGTGCCTAAAGGTCGAAGCGCAAAGTCAGTTAATGTCTCACAACCGTTCGTACATGGATTTTACTTGCTTCTCATATCCAATCCGCCTGAGAGAAATCCAGTCAAGCCTTGAGAGCTCATCGCGTAGATACGGAAGTACATCTTTCCACATACTGCCCTCTTTCAAGAGTACATCACGCAGACGCAAACCACGCAGTGTATCTCTGTGTCGTCGGGCAATGCCCAGAATTTCATCTGCGTTGAGACGCCAGGCTTGGATCCCAAAAGCTGCAATGACGGGATGACAAGTTAGTGTATGTCTCATGATGCAGAGACGCAAAACGTACCCTGCAGCTTTTCCCACTTGACGTTGTGGAATAGCTCTTCTAGCCGCAATGTGAGTGGTCGGTATGAAGGAAAGCCAATATGCACGGCTTCAATATTCTTAGCCGCAGTAAACAATGCCTTGGACAGGGAGGTGAGATGTCGCATCCGAACGTCTAGGTCCGTGCTGTCATCGAAATGTAGCTCTAGACAGGTCAGGCGTTCGGCAAGGATTCCCAGGGTTGATGGCGGATTGCTAGCGGCACCTAGTACGCTCTGCGGGCTTAGCATGGGTGATGAGAATCGCGAACATGGCGATTCGGACTCAAGGAGGGCCTGAAGACCGAGGTCGAAGTTAGTAAATGTCTACTATCAATCCGTACACGGATATGACTTGCCTGACCGATTGTTTTCGCGCTATGCAAGCATGCCGGTGGCCATGTCGGTACTAGACCGTTCAACTCGTTGTGACCCCGCATGTACGTGATTAACACGGCATCTTCCTGGTCCTGCAGGCGTAGGATCTGGATGTGCTGGAGTGAAGTGAATCGCTGGAGCGCGAAATGCAGGATATGTGCATCTTTCCTGCTGTTCAGAAGGCTGGTCTGCTCATTCACCTTTTTCTGGAATTTTTCGATCTCAAGGGAGCTGAAACTCTCGGGCCGTGTGTGGAGGAGCTCCTGTATGCGCTCTCGTCCTTGATCGTAGAAAAATGGCACCATGTAACTGAACTTCTTCACACGGCCGGCAATGTGAGGCTCGCCAGCTATTCTCTCTAATCTTTCGAGTCCCTTTCGCGAGAAGCGTGTCGTAACGCGCGAGAACTGATGAATGACACCCTGCAGCGGCTCAGTACATGTCTCACGTGCACTTCGTACAGCCGTACTCACCAAATTGCTGAATCTTCTGCAAGTCAATCTACAAAGGTGAGGATACGAAGTCAGTGTGTGTCTCACATGCATTCCGTACAGCTATACCACTTACCTAAAGCTCGCAATCGTCTCGGCATCGTCGGGCTCAGGTGGGAGGGGCAGCTTGAAAGATTCCTGCGACAGGTATGCGCGGCGCTCCAGACTTATTGGTTTTTCTGGTTCGCTCGCAACATATTCGAGGATGATGCGAAGAAGCTCGTCGGCGAGATCGAGGATACCCATTTTAAGTGGTCACATTCATGACGGCCGCTCCGAAGAAGCTCTGCTCAGGAAGCTTCCCAGCGCGATTTAGGAGCGCACCGCACAGCGGATATACTCTCAATGCAGGGCAGCAGCGTTCGGGCCGGATCGGGAGGAGGGAATGGCAGGTGGTAGTGAGCGTAGCGACAGCGGGACAGTCGAGTCAACTGACAACGTGGTGTTATCCGACAGCCGGCACCGATCTATGGGATAGCAAGCGAAGGACAGCCAGAGGGGCGTGGTCGGAGAAAGAAATGCATGACCTCTCTGCCAGCAGTCAGCTAAGCGTAGAGTTGCGAAGACGACCTGGGACTGGACACGCCGCCTGCAACTTGCAGCGTGCACCCCGGTACGCCCTCGCCCAAACCGCGATGCATTAAACTGCAACGGGCATAACGTCTCACATGATCACTAGCGTCTGCATTTACATAAGCAGGACGGTAAACATGCATGGCTCCTCCCGCGAAGAAGAGTCGAATGGCCGCTGTGGACTACTGCACAAATTCGCTAGGGCTGGCTGTTACGCCTGCGCTGATTCGAGGCCCGAAGGCCTGCTCCCCACAGCCCACTACACGAATTTCCATCCATGGATGGTCTCGATGCGTTGCCAACGAAGCATGCATCTGGAGGTCGGCTGATTGGCGTCACAAGCGCTTCAGATGCGTCATCCGGCCGATTCCACTGCCGTGTACTTGGGATGGCGCAAACGCCATTGAAGCGATGGGCATCTCATGACGACACGGAGCTTTAGGAGCCTCATAGTGGGCTGAAACGGGTGTCTGTATGTCTCGCAATGTGCGTACGCTGTTGCAGTGCGTCATTTGTCCTGCTCGGCAGGAGATGATAGCATGCAAGTTCCATTACAGCACACGAAGTACTGCGTGCAATACGTAAATAGTATACAAGCATCTGTGTAGGCGCAAGCGACCCGAATTCGGTCACCGCACAAATTCGGGACGGAGAGGACATGGCCGCAATCCCGCTCGTACATGCGCCGATGACGATGCATGCGTGGAACTGCCGGTCAGATCGACGTGTTGCTTCACAAGCCTATACTCGCCCTGGTAACGTCATGCGGACCTGTGCGGTCGTGTAGCTATGGCGCACGCAGCTGTCGTAGATCGTCGCACAGAAAATGACACTAGATGACCTCCTGCCTCGTCGACTTGTCGACCTCTCGTGCCGACGAAAACTCTACTCACATATCGCCTGGGCCTGTTCCAGCACGACAAACACTCAAAGACGTGTCTCGCCATCAACCCGCCCGGCCACGCCTATCGGGTCACGCTTTCGCTCTGGATTGAACACGTTCGCTTCGTTTTCGACGAATCTCAGTGCTGCTCAGCTTGCTCTGGAAGGTATCATCGATGCTGTCTTCTTCGCTGGCATCGAGAACAGCGACCTCAAAAACTTCAAGGGGGTCCCATCCCTGCTCGCTGCGCTTGTTGTTCACTGCAGCACCTCCGCTCCTTGTCTCGAGCGACAGCACCAGGGCAGAGATGTCTTTGTCAGTGATGGTTGGGCCGAAAGGATCCCAAATCTCGACATATTTGATAGTGAGCCCAAAGGGATAGCTGACGTGGACGGCATGTCCGTTCGGCCCGGGTTCTTGGATCTCTTCAACACGGATGCGCTCGTCATCTGGGGGGCCAAAGTAGAGGAGAGAGGAGAGAAAGTCGTGCGCTGATTGCTGGCGCTCTTTCCAACTTTCGAGATGCTCTGCAAACTTCTTGTTCACTAGTAGGGCGTCGCCAGTGATTCCGACTGTAAGTACGCTGGGCTTCGCATCGGAAGTGGATGGCTGTCTCCTTCCGAGCATAAAGGCAAACATGGTAAGCAGTAGCTTGTGGCCAATATGAAGGTGATCGAAAGTCCCTCCGACGGCAACGGAGAGGTGGTTGATTGATTTGTCTGTCTCATCGGCAGACGATACTGGTTCTGGTGCCTCTACACTGACAATACCGCCGCGAACTTTGGACACGGGTATCTGGGCTTTCGATAGAGAGAGGAAGCTCCTCAGTACGCGCTCGCCTTCTTCGCTTTCGACCGAGTAGACGGTATCCCATGATCGCGAACTCCGTGCTAGCGTATGGATGTCTATTGCTGGCCCCTGGAGTTCCTGCTCTGGGGTTGAATCTGGTAGGGGCTTCGTCAGTTGGCCGTCCCTGGGATATGCGACTAGAACAACACGAGCATCAACGCCCTCAGAATCTTCCGTATCGATAGCTTCCCTGCTCGCAGTGATGCAGATGAGTTTGTAGAGATCGGCTACTAGCTGCTGGGTGGTTGCGTAGTGCAGGCCCCTGGGCTCATCAAGATGGCCGTACAGATGAGGGCATGGTAATGCAATTTCTAGAAGTATGGATTCATGGGATGTGCGAGGAGACCGGGCCAGCTCTTTCAAGACGGTGAATAAGGGCGAGTTGTAGGCGGCCTTGAGTGCTGCATAGGAGGGTGGTGAGGGCGCAGGCGGCAGCAGCAGCAGTGCACGGCGGACTGGTTTGTGTGCTGGCGGCATGTTGCGGGTGTCAATGAACCTCGAACCTGAAGTGGGAGACGGTGGTATTGCAGATCATGAATCATAACCATGGTGGAAGCGAGCCTGTGTCACATGGAGGTAACCCGAAGCAGCGTGAAGGGAGGCGGAGGGGTGGTGGGGAACTTTTGCCGAGAAACAGCCGCGGGCGCCCAGCAAGTCGAGGCCAACCGCAGCGGAGCTCTTGACGATTGACTACGCGCCGCAACAGTCCCGAGTCTCTCTTTCCTCCGCCCGAGCCAGCGTACTCTGTAGAGCAATTGCAGGCGCCATGCCTTTCGGAAACCACCACCAGAATGCGCACAACGACCCGGCGCAGGGCATCTTTGCAGCGGCGTCGGCGCTGGGGAGTATGTGATAGTGGCCTTGGGCACCGCCGTGAACGTGGGCTGATGTGTATCTCGCAATTGTAGGCATAGGAGCGCCTGGAGGCAATCTGCGAGGGGCCACGCAGGGCACCACGCGCGCCGGCACCGACGCCTTCCTGCCCCAGAGCAGCGCGAACCAGCCGGCCCAGGGCGACGCCTACCTGCCCTCGACCGCACCGCCCCAGGCCACCTCGACCTTCGACGCCCCGCGACGGCGCACCAACGAGGAGCTGCACATATCTGCTGGCGGCGGTCAGGTGCCCTCATCGGCGTCGGCGCAGCCCCAGCAGCAGCACCTGTACAGCTCGCCCGACAATTACCGCTCGGCGCCCAACATCAACATCGACCATGGAACCCCTCAGAACTCGCAGTATGGCTCCCCGGCAGTCCCCGGCGCCCTCCAGCCCGCGCAGCAGCCACAACAACCGCCGGGGCCGCAGCAGCAACAGCGACCCGCGCCTGCCAACGCCTACACGGCGCCCGTCGTGCCTACCCAGACGCAGATAGCCAGCAACGCCCAGCAGTACACGCTGCCCACGCGCTCCAACACCATCAGCCAGCCCCAGCATTCCCCTCACTCGGCCCATTCCTACTCGCGCTCGAGTCCAGCTGGCCTGGGCCCCGACCAGAAATACGTCCCCTTCTCCAACACCCCCGACCAGAAACAGTACCAAGCCGGCACGCCCGCCCAGAAGTACTACCCCACGACTCCCTCGGGCGCCGCATCGCAGTCGCCCCTGGGCCTCGCCGACATCAGGCCGCGCGCAAACTCGACCATGGACCACGAGGGCATGGGACACGGCAACACCATGGTCAGCGACGGCAACAAGGTGCCCTCCAACAGCAACTACCTCGCCCCGTGGAGCATCTACGCCTACGACTGGTGCAAATGGAACGTCCCGGGCGGCAACAGCGCCGGCAAGATGGCCGTCGGCAGCTATCTCGAGGACAACCACAACTTCATCCGCATTCTCGACACGCAAATAGCGCCCCAAGACACCTCCGCCCCCGGCGCCACACCCTACGGCCTCGAGTACAACGCAATCGCCGAAGCCACATGTTCCTTCCCCGTCACGCGCATACTGTGGGAGCCGCCGTCGTCGCAGAAGCAGTCGACCGACCTCCTCGCAACGTCTGGCGACCATCTGCGCTTGTGGTCGCTGCCCCAGGCCTCCGGAAACAACATGAGCAACACCATCACGCGCTCGTCCTCCGTAAACACGCGAGAGCCCCAGCTCCCTAAGCTCACGCCGCTCGCCCTCCTCTCAAACTCCAAGACCCCTGAACACACCGCGCCGCTGACCTCCCTCGACTGGAATACCATGTCGCCCAAGCTCATCATCACCTCCAGCATAGACACGACCTGCACCATCTGGGACATACCCTCGCTTACCGCCAAGACCCAATTGATTGCCCACGACAAGGAGGTCTTCGACGTACGCTTCTGCGCAGGAAGCGTCGATGTTTTTGTCAGTTGTGGAGCCGACGGCAGTGTCCGCATGTTCGATCTCCGCAGTTTAGAGCACAGCACCATCATCTACGAGCCCTCAGACAAGGGCGGCGACAAAGACAAGGGTCGGTTTCTGTATTCACTTCCGATGCCAATTGCTAACAAGGTTCAGGCTCGCCAACAGGCCGCATGTCGCCCACCAAAGCCCAGCAGACCATGTCGTACGCGCCCCCGCTCCTCCGTCTCGCCGCATCACCCCACGACTCCCACCTCCTCGCTACCTTCGCCGCCGACTCAAACCTCATCCGCATCCTCGACGTGCGGCAGCCAGGCCAAGCCCTACTCGAACTGCGTGGCCACTCTGCGTCCGTCAACAGCATAGAGTGGAACCCATCGCGGAGAGGCATGCTCGCCTCTGGTGGAGACGACTCCCTCGTACTCATCTGGGACCTGCTACACGCAAACAACGGCGCGACCATCAGCGGAGAACATGCTTCAACACAGCCTCCCGTCGTACAGCCCGCGACTACACATCCCGCCAACGGAGCCGCGGGCGCGCAGAATGTGCCCGTAGGCCAGAAGGGACCCTACGCCAGCTGGCGGTGCGACTACGAAGTCGGCAACATTAGCTGGGCACCTCAGAGCGCTCTGACAGGGCAAGGCGGTGAATGGGTCGGTGTCGCTGGTGGACGTGGTGTTTGGGGCGTCAAGTTATGATGAGTCTCGATTCCGTGTTGATAACCTCAGTTCAGACTTCGTACGACCGCCATGTTTTGCCTTGGAATGCCAACTGTATGAATGACGCATTGTTTCCGATTAGGGCAACGGGCGGGATTGATAAAAGTGTACAGCTCTTGTTATCTTGCTCTCTGAGCACAATAGTTTGGTGGTGGGGGCGTTAGTGGTGGGTTTTGCATGCATATAAGATACCTGGAAGTGAAAGACTTGTCTTCTCTATATGACGATTCTGGACTCGATGATGTTTTTCTACGAACATTCCCTTTCCATCCCTCTCACAATATTTCTCTGAGCAGTACAGGTTTATCGTATGACCACTTCCACAACGACCTCATTACTCCACCCAGCCTTCGAATCAGTCTCCTTCCACGCCCGCACCGTATCAATCTCAAGCACGTTCTCGCATTCCTTGCTGACACTGACACAATGTGCTGGCACCGGGCGGCCGAACAACACGGCGAAGAAGTCGTTTTCGATGGAGCGCTTTGGCAGGTCTGAGACATACAGTGCTATAACATGTCAGTAAATATCGAAACACAGAACCAAGGGAAGCAACACGGGGAATCCGAAAGAGAAAAGAACATACCAAACCTCCCCAAAACCTTACAACTCGTCCAAACCCTCAGTCGTCCCGAACTGCGATCCACATACGCATCCGCACTAACAATCGCCGCCGCCCCCGTCATCTTCCCCACAACCCCCAAGTTCGCAACACAAACTTTGCGCGGTCCCTTAGTCTCACTGCCCTCACCCCTCTGCAGTTCAAACTCCATCAACGGGAACGCAGATAGAATCTCCCAGCCACGAACCGGAAGTTCGATATGCACAAAGGCATCGTTGGTCGCTACGCTCGTTGGAGCCGTGACCTGGCCGTCTGTGTGCGAGCGGATGATGTAGGTACCTTTTTCTGCGCCGGGGAAGGCGTCGAGGGCGATGAGTTCGGAGATGGGTTTGGGGGTGCAGTTGAAGACGCCGAGGATGGAGACGCCGGTGTGGGCCATGCCGACGTAGGTGGTTACTTTGAGGAGGACGGTGTCGTCGTATGCGTTGTAGGCTTGTGTTGTTTTGCCTACGGTGTGGGGACGTAGGATGACCGTGTCGCCCCGCGGTGTCTTGCCTGTCATTTGGTTGATGAGGTCGATGTCGTGCTGCCCGGGGACGTCGGTGATGTAGATGGGACCGCCGGAGACGCAGCGTGCGGCGGCGTGGAAGGCGGCGTAGTCGTGGCTCGTTTGGAACATGTCCCAGTCGGGGAGTATGTTGAGGTATTGCGTTATGATGGAGTTGTGCGCGTTGCAGAAGATGTGCCAGGGATGGCTTGCAGGTACCTCAGGGAAGAAGTCATCCGAATTACGCAGTAGCATGCGTGGCTTGTTGGACGGGAGTTGCGAGTGGAAGATCAGGGGCGGGGCTTGTGACATGCAGGATATGGCGCGCGCGGAGAAGGAACGTAGCTGTGCGATGGACCAGGCGTCTTGGTAGGATTTGATTAGTTTGCGGCGGTCGTCCGAGTCGTGGAGCTCGTCGAGGAAGAACTGGGCATCGGTTTTGACAGAGTCGATGCCACAGGACGAGAGGAACTCGTAGAAGTCTTTGTAGAAGCGGGAGACGTCTTCTTCAGCTACGACGGTGATCTTGCCGCCGGATACGCCGTCTTTGAGTTGGACGAGACTGGTTTTGTAGTCTTTCGCTATGCGGCCTTCGGGTGCAATGCCTCCCCAGTAGCCAAAAATAGCGTGCCATACAGCAATGTGGCGGATGTGGCTGTACTTCTCTCGTATGTCGCTGACTGTGGCTTTCAGACCACGAGGGAAGCCTTTTTTGGTTGCTTCAAACTCTGTCATGGCGTTGTCGAACTGATCGCCGCCTTCGGTGTTGAGCGACTGCCAGTTGTCGTCGATGATCAGGTTGCTGATATTGATTTCGTTCTTGCGTAGTGACTCCAGTGCCTCGAAGATTTTGTCTTCATTGAGCTTCTGGCCTAGGCCGTTCCAGGTGCAGTACGTCAAGCCATCATACCAGTTCTCCAGCCACTGCGGTTTGAAGTCGTCAACCAAGGCCTTCTCTTCTTCGCTGACCAGTCCTGCCGATTCTTGGTATGCCATTACGAGTTTGCGAGCATAGTACATTGAAGCTGCTACTGCGTCATCTAGCTTCATGCCCACTGCGGCAACGATACGCACAGTGCCATCTTTTTCGCTATCGTTCCTGGCGTTCATGACGACTCTGCCGTCGCCGTCATGATTGAGAGTTGTCAATACTTCATCCAACCCACTCACGGCGAGCAGTGCCAGATGGGTGCCATCGTGACGTTCGAATGCGGCCAACATAGCATCTTTGTCAGGCTGGAAACGGTCTTTGCCCTGTCTCGGAGCAAGCCATGGGGCCCATAGTCGTACCTCAGCGAACCAGCGGGAGAGATTCGTCGGCTTACCAAGCTTTTCTCCTGATAGACCAGGCTGCTTGCCTGACGCTGCACTGATGGGGTAAGTGAGGTCCCACAGAACGGTGTTGGGCGTATCGCTTTGTTCTTTGGATATATTGAGGAATGGTGGTAAGCCCTCGAGATAGTAAGTCAAATCTTCTTTCAACGCATCTGGTGACTGGTAGATGAGGCGACCGTCTGAGGTTGAGAATTGTTCGTTGGCCCACTTCCACGGTTCGTTCTGGGTATGTTAGTGAGAGCCCTCCGATCGACCATTTTACATCATCTGTTCAGTCAGATTATTGTAGACCGAATGTTCAAGACTCACCTCTGAGGCTCTGAAAGTAATGGTATACGATAACGAAGAGCCGTGCTTGGGTCGTCCGGCCAAGTCGACTGTATAGTACTGGCGTTGTAAATTCGAGTGACTTGGCTTGACTACCGTCTACTTGCGATTAGCTTCTGATGAGCCTAGGTGGCACGTTGGTTTGCTCACAACGCATGCCTCGTCGTTTGGCTTTAAGCTAGTGCTTTTCCATAGATCAGGAGTATCAAAGTTGTGCCACAAAGCGACCTCCCATGCCTTCTGCGGCCCGGCTGAGCTCTCGATGACTACAGTAATCCTTACCTGAGTGTGTGATTAGATGAGACAAAGGTCGGGAGACAGATTGAACACACAGATTCTCGATCGGAGGGAATGGTAGTCGTCTGGCCTAGCGGAGGATGGCAGCTGAGTGCGGCGTACATGGTATCGAATGCAGAAAGTCAGGATAAGCTATGGAGTTAAGTAGGATAATGATAGAAAGCACACAGAAAGACACGATGGACGGGACGGATGATGAGGAGGATATTGAGTTTGCATTGACCAACAACTAAGGTATTCAGCAGCACAATGATGCATATGCAGGCACTAAGAGGCCGAGGAGGTGCAGGTGACGTGTGCGGAGGTCGGGGTAGCTGCGAGGTGCACTAGAGCTCCAGCCAATCGGGGTCATTGAATTCCCATCTTGGCATTTAGGAACATTTTGGCATGGGCCCAAGTTTTGATGCCGCTCAATGGGCAGCCATGTCAGCCTTACGACGTCTACCACGGCCCCGACCATTTGTCTGTCGGCAATGCATACGACATCAGCATGTGCTTGCCCGTGGTGAGCGACCGGCAGCGAGATGGGCCGACGAGGAGCCCGACCCAGTAATACGCCAGGCGCAATGGGAGGAACACGCGGGACAAGTACGGGCGGGGATGCACCAGAGCATGTTGAGTGTACTTGAAGAGCGTGGATTTGTCAAGGATGTCGCTGGGTGAGCATGTCGCGAACAGCCTCCTTCAACGGTCGCTAATCAACATAGTGGACGCCAGACGCTCGACTGGCTGCTCACCGAAAAGCGCATCGGCGCATATGTCGGCGTAGACCCAACAGCCCCCTCTCTACATGTCGGCCACCTTCTCCCGCTTATGGCGCTGTACTGGATGTACCTCCATGGCTACTACACCGTCAGCTTGGTGAGCCACCCGCGACTCGATGCACACAACGCGAGTTAATCATGGCTAGTTAGGAGGAGGCACCGTCCAGATTGGCGACCCTTCTGGCAGAACAACGGCTCGGTCTCGGCAAGGCGAAGATGTGCAGTCCATGAATGTGGAGAGCATACAGCGCCAATTGGACAAGCTGTGGACGAATGTCAAGTGCCTGGGCATCAAGTACCAGTACTCCCCCCTAGTCAGCCGAAAGCAGGATATCCTCAACAACAGGAGATGGCTGTCCCAGTTGAGTGCAGTTGAGCTGATGAGGGATCTGGGGTCTGGTATGCGCCTGGGTGCCATGCTCAGTCGCGACTCGTAAGTCCGTCATGTCTTGAGTAGAGAATGCCTCTCACACGTTTAGGGTCAAGCTACGAATGGAAAGCGGCGAAGGCATGGCTATATCCGAGTTTAGCTACCCTCTCTTCCAAGCCTACGACTGGTGGAGCATGTACCGGAACCAGGGCGTTCAACTACAAATAGGTGGATCTGATCAGTACGGAAACATCATTGCCGGCATGGGCGCTGTCAGTCACATGCGCAAGATACATCGCATGGACAACGGAGCAGAGGGCGACGAAGACCCAAGCGTAGCAACTTACGGTCTCACCACACCACTGCTTACAACAGCGTCTGGCGAGAAGTTTGGCAAGAGCGCGGGCAATGCAGTCTGGCTTGACGGCCAGATGATGAGCTCGTTCGATCTGTACCAGGTACGTCCTCGGTAGCTCTTTGTAGTCTCACTACTGACAGTCTGTTACAGTACTTCCTCCGCACCGCAGACGCCGACGTCGAACGCTACCTCAAGCTCTTCACCTTCCTCCCTCTTGACGAGATCAGCCTCCTAATGAACCGTCAAAACCAAGAACCCTCAAAGCGTAACGCCCAACACATACTCGCCCGCGAAATCGTCGAGCTCGCACACGGTGCCGCAGACGCGAAGAAAGCCGAAGCCGCACACAAGGACACGTTCGGTCAGGGAGCCCATACTTTCTCGCTATTTTCGCTGAGGAACGCGATTATCGGTGACAA